TAGTTTCAACTACTTTATATACAGTTAGCTAGTTCAGTCATTTTTTAATTAATGGCCTTGTGAGTGCTGACAATTATCTCAATACCAGATAGTTGGCCTGATTAAGTGGTATATCACTAACATGGGTCATATAGAGGCATCAGTATTGTTAAAATGGAACCATGGTAGAAGTTTAGAGGAGAAATGCTAACAACTTGTAGACATCTGAAATGTGTCAGATAAATGTAGTGTAGTAAAATGTATGTAATATCTGGCTCTGAGAAGTAATCGAGTAATGTAAGTAGCATACAATAATTGTATGTAAGTGCAGTACTTGAGTAAATACTTAGTTAGTTTCCACAACTGCTGTTCTTTAATGAAGGTCACAAAATCCACCTCAGTAGAATTTGTCATGTCTGTATGGTTGTCTGTTATCTTCTGTTAGGGGAAGAAGGAGTTTGTTGTTTGACTGAGAAGCAGACCAGAGGATCAGAGACGAGTTTAAACATGACTCTGAGGAGGAGGAGGAGGAGGAGGAGGAGGAGGAGGAGTGAAAGTTACCTGACACCCAGAGGGTTTGGAGAATCTGGCTCTGTTGTTTGTTTTTGTTTTTTTTACCTTTTCTTAGTTTAGCGCCTAGATTTTATTTCTCTGAGTTGACAGATTAAATTGTTTGCCGACTGAGGATTCTCTGGTATTTCAGCCTCCAGTGGGACTTTTTGTGTGCGGTTTGAATATTTCAGTTGTCAGTCTCCATGTCAATCACCAGTTGTATAAGTGTGTGTGCAGTCATCTTATACTGTGTTTTCAAAGGGAAGTGGATGTGTCGGTGATTTAAGAAGGGTGTGTGTGAGGGAGGTGGGGGCAGCTTCCTGTCTTGGGGGCTCACACAGACTATCCTTCCTGAACCTGCCTCGTCTTGCCCTCCCTTCATCTGTCTGAATGTGTCTTTGTGTGTGTTATCTCACCGTTCTACTGCTGCTGTTGTTGTCGGTCTCTAAACGGAGCGAAGAGCCACAAACAAACTTCAGGTTTTGTTGTGGCAGCGAGGTGAAGATATTTCCACTTTCTGTTATCGACACAGTGACGCCGGCACACGTACAAGTGTCTGTGTGTGGTGCCCACACTGATACACACTCACTCCTTTACTTGCTGCCTCACAAATACCCTCACTAATCCTCCTTTTCATTCCCTCAGTCTCTGATGTACATTCCTTATCTGTGCTGGTTAGAAAATGTGCACCAAAACTCTGAATTTAGACACTGAAACTGAATTTAATTCCCCTTGAAAGGTTGTCATACATAACTGAAAATAGATTGGTCCAGTTTCTGCATACCTGGCAGCCAGTCTTAATTAGTATAGAAGATGAATTACAAATTGGACTCCAGAAGTACATCAGTGTATCAATACTGAATTGTGACTACTTGTAATGTATGTATCTGTACATATTTAAGATCCATCTTATTGATCTGTGACTACTTACAGCACTGCTTCTTGTGTTTCTATGTATGTGAGGTCTGTAGGCTCATGAAGATAGCATGCATACTTCATTCATTTTCAATTTTTTTGTTTGTGAGATGTAATTTGTGTCACGTCTGTGTCCCTCTGTCTGGGTTGGGGGGTGGGATACACATTCTATGTTTACAGTTACCCTTTTTTGGAATCTGCCGATAAGTAACAGAATAAAATAAAATGTGCACCTGGGATTAAAATTTTTTTTACCCCTGTTGTTAAACCCCCAATTTAAAATGGACCCTTCCATTTAAACAAACAGGGCAGACGGCAGCATTGAGTAGATTTAAATATCACGCTTAAACTATTTCCTGTCTCACATCAACTATGCTGCCCCTTATTCCCTTGCACACATACACACTTACTCACACACACACAGACAAGTATGTGTGTGTCTTTGTTCTCTGCCGTCTCAGCCAGAGATGTGTGAAAAGTGGGTCACAGGTCAGACCTCGTTGTCCCCCCCAGGCAAATGAAAAGTGACGGACACCGGCCTTGCATCTCCACTAATTCACTCACACACACACACACACACATTCGGCGCCCACTAATTGCGACATGCCGTTATTAGCGCTGCACAGGGCCAGCGCCTATAATTGCAGAACATCCCTGGACAAATAATTTGGTAGTTAGTTGGAGCGTCTGAGGCCAGCACCAGGCCGGCAGGGGTCACCGGGTCACAGCTCACTAAAGAAGAGGGGAACAGAGAGAGCTGGAGCTCATCAAAGCCTTCACAAATCAGCTGGTGTAAAACTCAATTTAAACCTGTCTTTTCCTTTTTTCAGGGTTTTGGACCCAAAGAGCCAGTGAGACAGAGGAGGACCTGATATTGTGATATCACCTGAACCCCATCCCGTCATCTACTCCTTCCACCCCCCTGCTTGTCCTCCAGCTGACCATCCTTCTCTCTAAGGCCTCGTCCGGAGCTCCTCCCAACTCCCCCACTCCCTGACTCTGCTGTGGATTTAAGACTTTTATCAGGACTTGAGCGTCTCCTCTCAGTCCACACTGATCAGCTGACCTGAAGCTCCTAATCACAGCACGGCCCAATCTAGGCCCAGTTCTGGTCCAGTCTAAGTCCAGTCCTGCTGCAGGATGGCAGGTCTACGGTTCATTCTGGCTGTGATTGCCGCCGCTCTACTGACCCTTAGAACTGATGGTAAGACATTTAAAATCAAGTTAAAAAGCTGTTCTAAGTTTAAAGTTTGTGTCTTTTATTTATTTTTATCTTTGTCACAAAATGATATAAATTTTATCCATAGACAAACACCTATAACTCCGTACTATGGTTGACCTTAACACTCATACACATATCACTTTATGCCAACCTGAGGGTTGGGACCTTACATGGGTCATCTGATATGCAAATAGGGTCACAAGAAGATTTATATTTAGTATAAACATTAAGATCATTTAAATCAAATTAATGTTTTTGAAGTTTTATTCGGAATTAAAAAGCACTTGTTTAATTAATTCCAGATTTAAGTTGCATGACCTTAACTTAATGAACTTTGATCCCCACTAGAGTGCAAGTTGATTTGGCTTGTCATTTAGCACAGCTGTAAATGTAGCAAAGGAGGCAAATGAAAAGTCTGACTGATTGATGGATGATTGAACCGTTTACAGCTGTGCGAGTGATCATGTGATCAAACTCTACAGGGAGGTTAGGTTTGGAGCAAGAGGGCAGCATCCAGAGATGACACTGCACATTTTAAAACATTATGATGAACAAGATGAGATGAGTAGTATGGGTATGAGTAATAGATTCATAAGTTCCAATGTTTTTCCTTTGGTATGGACTGTGAGCGTGTGTGTATATGGAAAACAAATGAGTCGAGAGCATCTCCTGGTGTCTTTACTGCAGAAACAAACCTGGGATTTGAATCACCTGTCAAATAGCCAAGAATTGCTGGTATCACAGATGATGAGGAGCTCAAAAGTCTGCAAAATGCAAACTGTCAGGAAATCCTTTCCAATGCCTCCAGTCCTGAGTATGTGACTGACAGACAAATTACACATGTGAAATTTAGGTTCTCCTTTAATGACAGTATTTCGGGTCAGATTTCTTCTGAAATCGAGCATATCACGTAACTACTGGATCTGTGAAATACAAATCAACATCCCCAGAGATGAGATGGAGTATTTTCATACATTCTTTCAACCATCTCATTAGACCTGATGAATTGGATCAGATCATGAATTAGTAGAGGAAAGAAATGAGTATATACATTAAAGTGTTCAGAGGACATGTGTCACTGACACTGATTTCTACTCCTGGATCATTGGTTGCTTTTTTTTCTCCCATTTGCCTTTGAAGACATTTTGGCTGCAGAGTTACTCATTAACCCCTTAGTTTGCTTTCAGTCAGATAAGCAGTACTTTCAGACTGACATTAACATAAAAAGTAATTATACCCCTCCTTTGTAATCAGCACCCCCTCCCTGTACACACAGATCTGTATCAGAAGCCTTTTGTTACAGCTGTGATTAAGTGTCAATTGGTTGATAATAGAGGCTTTAGAAATGAACCTCTAGCTATGGAAACAATAGTCTACTCTCCCAGAAAACATTTTCCGTCAGAGCAGCACTCCTTCCTCACATTTGTGAAAAAAAACACTCTGTAGCGAACAGCTTGTACAGCCCCATCTTTCTCTGCTGTTGAAGTCAAACTCTTAATTTATCCTGACTGATGTGACCGAGGCATTTACACATAGATGACCAGATCGTGTTGGAGAAGCTTGTGGCAGTAACTTGTAGTTGTATTGTCTGTTTTAGGGACGTTTCTGGCTAACTGCAGCAGAACTAAATGCTCAATGTTTCTAGCAGCATCTGACTGAGTGTCAAGTTCTAATGAAATAAAATTAAGGAATGTATTCTTTATTAGGATCACCATTAGTTACCTTGGCAACTGCTGCTCTTTTTGGAGTCTGTTCATCTAAAGAAATGCAATATGATATACAAAGGTTTACATGTACACTCCATACAATATTACATTTAAAATATCCCAATCGCATCTAACTACAACTGAAATGGTTAGTTGATTAATAAACAGCAACTATTTTCATAACCAGTTAATCTTTTGAGTCTTGAATGTGTTTGTTCTTCTTTAGTGAGAATATATCAGTGTGGACAAAACTATCTAAGACATCACCTTAGACCTTGGATGTTTATAGTCTAATTTAAAAAAGTCTAAAATTGAATAATCTATATTTTAGGCCTCAAATATGGTTTGGACAGGTCTTAAAATAGAAAGGATTAATGAAGTTGCATTTTTCAGTCTCAATTTTAAATGTGGTTTTGAAAGAATTTGAATTGATCATGCTGTAACAACTAAAAAAATTAAACTGACATGGAACAAATACAGATTGTCCTTCATATCCTTCATGCTTTTTTTTGCCAAGATGGATGTAAAATAGGTCTTAAATTGCATTCATAATGGTCTGAAAAAGACTTAAATTTAACTTGTTGAAACCCACAGAAACCCTGTTATAGATAGAATGATTGTTCAGACTAATGAAAATAACAATAATAATGAATTAGTTTAAAGCCCAGTTTCTATTCCAGTGACTCTGACTACATACAGTATGCAGAAAAATGTATCATGTAAACAGGTTATTGCCTCTTCCGGTCCGCATTCATTTGGATTATCTAAATAAGGCGTCAAAGTTCAGAGGAATTTAAAGCTCAGTTTCTTTGGTGTGGAAAAAAAGGAAAAGGCTTATTGTGGACAAAGTGCCTAAACAGTTAAATAAATGTACATTTTCAGATCTTGTCAGAATAGTGTGGATGTGTTCAACTGCAGCTCTGAACATGAGAAAGGTCACCTTATCCCTTCCGACCTGCCCTAATGCTACACTCCAAAGAGGCAGGATGATAAGCACAGGCCGGCCGTTCAGCAAAGTGTTTACCTGGACTGTGATTGGAACTTAGATCTACCCGCTATCTCCAACCCCACACAAACCAAACAAACACCACAAACACACCAACACACACACACAGAACAAAACCACCCCATAGAAGAATCCAAAGTTATGTGAATCCAAGGTTCCCAAAAATGCAGGTCCCTGACTTGCACCCCAAAATAAAAAGTTTGAAAAATATAGGGCCAACTATGATGAATATATGCT